TCCTTCAATCACTCAATCACCCCTCACCACCCCCCACCTTCTCTCTTTCCTCCTCCGCTCTCTCCCCCTGCTCTTTCCCCCTCTTTCTCTATCCACTCTCTCCCCTCACCCCCATCTCTCCCTCTCTCTCCCAGCACAAGTACATCCGTGTGGGAGGAGGCTACAGGCATGGCTACTGGTACATCAAGTGTCTCTTGGAGGAACTGGAGATACAGGTGAGGGCTCGGACTGGAGAAGCTCTCAGTGCTCACAGACACTGGCACGATTACTTGTACATACACGGGATGGGGAGGGGGGGGGAGGGAGATGGGACAAATATAATATTATATTCATTATGTATATACAAACTGTAAATATACATAGTTTAATACACACATACTCTCATTGTGTATATATGTGCATGTGAGTTTTTGCAGATAGCTAGATAAATGTTGAAGATGTGGCGACTAACCTTGTGTGTTGTTATGTGTAGTGCGTGTGTTGTTATGTGTGGTACGTGAGTTCATGAGTGAGAGTTCAGGAAAAGTCGCCAAGCTGTTCGAGTGAATGTGCGAGTGTCATGTCTCGTCCTGGAAGGCCTTATGTGTGTGTATTTCTCTTCATGCTACAACAGGATTATACTCGCTGTCTTTCCACGCGTTCTAATAATTTGCTGAACGAAAGGACATGTATGCTACAAAGAGAAAACAATATATTGAAATGAACAACGTAAATGGCGCTAACATTTTCCAAAACAGGGGTGTAAGTCTTGTCTGACCAAGTCTGCCCAGCCCCTCTGGATTACCTGTCTCGATTAGTTGTACAGTACGGGAACAGGATATAACTGCACGAGTTCATGGGGGCGTAAGTTTTACTTTTTCCCAAATGCAAGTATTCCTTTGAATAGAATAATTATGATACAGAGGTATCACTTGTGTCACTTTTACAAAACTTCTGGTAGCACAACCAATCTTATTGCTTCCTACAGAGACAGCGGGAGTTACTCAAGCAGCAGCGGTTGGCGGCTATCAAAGAACACCGTAAGTCAACCATAGGGAGGCTCCTTTAAGTTTTCTCAGAATTGTTAATGTTTAGGAAATATGATTTATTTGCTGTTC